TAAATGTATTTTTAAACAATTTTTTACTGTCATATTAAAAAATTATAATAGAACTAATCAAATATTAATATAACAATATATTTTAATTTTTTATAAATTACAAATATACCATTATAAATAAGTTAAGACGAATAAAATAAAATTTATATTATCATTAGCTTAAATAAATTATCAATATTTTCTACACGTTTTTTTTCTTCTCTAACTATGTTATTTATGACATTGTTATTTGTTTCGATTTTTCATCATTTGTTTTGTTCGTCTTCCATTTTATTATTTTATAATTTTACAAATTTATAAAATTAATTATGATTTATTTTTAAAATGAAGTATTTCTTACTATTAATTTTTTTAAATACACCAATTAATAATATTTAGAATTGAGAATTTTTATATTTGTTATTTATTTTAAAATATTTATTATTTAAATTCTATAATAAAACTATTTTTACCTATTTTTAAATATTAATTACGAAAATATTTATAATATTAATATTCTTTTAATATTTTTAAAAAGTCCGTGGGCTAGCCTGCTTAGCTCGCCACCCGCCAGTGGGTTGGATTGGACTGATGAAATTTTGATGCGCCCCACCGTGGGTTGGCCCGCAAACAACCCGCTTATTTGCGAGTTAGGATTGTGGGCCAATCCGCCCCACTAACCCGTTTTGACCGGTCTAATTTTTTCATCCCTAGATATTATTAAGCTATAATATATATATATAATAAAAAATATATATTATAAGTAATTAACAAATTAAATTTACATATAAAAGAAAAAGAAAATTTGTTATGTTCATTTCGCTAGTAAGATAAAACTATAGTAGATATTTTGCATAAAAATTAGAATACTCTTTTTAAAAGTATAATACAGTATTTTGTTAATATCAATAATTTTTTATTTAATTATTTCGAATAAACAATCATCCAAAATTATGTATTCCTGTACTAATTTTATTGTACACAAGCTTAATGTAAAAATAAAATAAAAATAAAAATAAAAATAAAAAGCTGAGTGGTGTGTTTGTCTGAGAGTTTGGATTTTGAGTTGAAATTTGAATAGTAAAAATTTTAAATTAGAATAATAGTATAATGTGATATAAATATGTATTGATGTGATATTTTGAACGTAGAGAAAATAAAAATTAAGTATTTGATTTGATGTTTTTGGAGAGAAAATATTTGATGAATAGTGAAAATCTGGAAAATAAATTCAGGTGTGTTTGTTTGGGGTTTAGATTTTGAGGTGGAATTTGAATAGTAAAATTTTTGAATTGGGACAGTGGTATGATGTGATAAAAATAGTTATTGATGTGATGTTTGTAATGTAAAATTAATTTTTATTATAATATAAAAATAAAAAATAAGTATTTGATTTGATATTTTTGAACAAAAATTTATGAATAGTAAAGATTTGCAAAAAAAAAAATCCCTTAAAGAATACACCATTAATGTCTTTAACCTTTGTTCATCGTGAATATAGATTCAAGTGCTTAAAAAGTAAATTTTTATAACAACAAATTATTGAGAGCAATAATAACTGTTTATTTAATTTATTTGGACAATATCCGATTCAAAATTATATTTATTGTCAGTATCCTAGTAAACTATATATATATATATATACACACCCGCGTCAATATGGTATTTAAACCATTATTTGAGTGGATGTAAAACCTATGCTTAAAAGTATACTAAAATTTATTGACGAGGAAATAAAAATTTAATGATTTTTTTTTCTACGCTTTGTCAAATATAGAAAATTAATATGAAAATTGACAATAATAAAATAAATAAGATACAAAATTTTGAATTTAAATGTGGGGCAAAATTTCTCCGAGCTATAGCTTGCCCTCTTCTTCACTGACAACCTGCACTATCGAATTACTTTTTATTATATTTTTAATAATTTATTAAAATAAATTAATATATTTTTTTACTATATATATATATATATATGCATAAAATTTTCTTAACGAGAATTGTGTAGAGATTAAAAACAACCAAGCATCACTCTCTTGTGAGTATTGGATTTTGAATGTGTTTGGTTTAATTTGTGTTTAAATATATTAGTTGAGTTGATATAATTTATAATATGAAATAATTAATAAACTTTTACAAAAATTATATGAATTATATAATAAGAAGATTTTAAAAATAAAGAAAATATCTATATTTTTTAAATTAATTAATTAACTGTACTGACTGTAATTACAGATTATACAATTTTTTTAAAATTTTTTTAATACAATTGAACTTGAATGTAAGAACAAAATAAAATAATTTTTTATTCCGACACATCTTTTAAAATGATACACATATATTACTTTTATGGTATGTATACACTATATATATATAAATATGTATTTCATATGTTTATGTTTAGTAATTTATGAATGAAAATTGAAAAGTTATTAAAGTATAATAGAGTAAAATATTTGTATAGACTCGTGTTTGACTTCATTTATCATTTTGGAATTTTAAATTAACTATGTCTCAAATAGTTTAGTAAATAAATTTTTTTTTGCTAAAATGGTCTTCTAGTGTCGGACTCGCACGCGGCTGACATATCATCGTCACGTAGATGTCACGTCGAAGGACCATTTTACCGAAATGTTTTTACTTGGGGGACTATTTCTAGACAGAGACTATTTAAAGTCTAAAATGATAAAAAAAAAAAAAAAAGGTTATATACAGGACTTAAAAAATACTTTACCAAAATATCTTGTAAAATAAAAATAATAAATAATAATAAAATTCCATGTGTTGCGGGCATGACATTTACGATGACATGTCAGCGGCGTCAGTGCTACATCATCAACGACGGGCTAACGTGGCGGGTTTGGCATTAGAAAACCATGTTAGCAAAAAAACTTATAAGACTATTTTCAGACAGTAATCATTTATAAATTTTAAAATGATAAATACGGTTAACTTTGAGATACAAAAAAAAAAAAACAACAGTTTACTCAATATAGTACATAGTTCATACTAATAATACTATTAAGCTATAACATACATATTATATAATATTATAAGTAATTAACAAATTAAAATCCACCAATAAAAAAAATTGTTATTTTCGTTCTATAGTAAAATAAAGATATAGTAAATATCTCGCACGAAAATTAAAATAATTATTTAAAAGTAGAATTTAAAATTTTGCTAATGCTAATAATAATTTTTCATTTAATTATTTCGGATAAAAAATAATCCAAAATTTATGTTTGCAATATTGTACAATTTAATAGTACACTAGATTCGTGTATTTCAAGTGAATATAAATTCAAATACTTAGAAAGTTAATATTCAAAAAAGATACTTAAAAAGTAAATTTAAAGATTCGTTGAGAATATTAATAATTGTTTATTTAATTTATTTGGACAATGTCCAATTCAAAAAAATATATATGTTGTGAGTATCCTAGTAATTGATATATTGTTTCACTTACAGTGTTGATTGAGTCAAATTAGCATGGTCATGTTGATTTTATCAAGTTAGTAAATAATGATATAATATGTAGCAAATATTTGAATAACATATTATATAATTACATGTAATATATATAATATATCTTGATTTCAGAAAAATATATTATGATTTAGTACAACAGTAATTTGATTTGATCAACAAATGTCTCTAAAGAAAGTTATCTTTCTTGTAACAATTTGCTAAGTATTTAACGATAATATGCTAATTTGGTAATACGTTATATGTTGTATGATGATTTGCTAATTACTTCAATCAATTTTTTGATTTGACCAAATGAGCATCCTAACCGCGGTCTCACCATCATATCCAAACCAAATGCATATAAAATATTGTGCTTAAAAGTGGAATACAGACTCGTTGACGAGGAATCCAATTTTTTATTTTTATTTTTATTTTTCAATGTTTTATCTAAAATAGAAAATTAATGTGAAAATCGACAACAATTACATAAATAAGATAAAAAAAATAAATAAATTATGTATTTATAAAAAGAGATGTAGAAATCATTTTCCATGCTAGAACCGGACAATAGCTTTTTTTTTTTTTTTTTTTAAATGAATGAGATTTTATGATTATTATTATTATTATTTGTAAATTGTGAAATATGCTTTATTTATCATATTAATAGAACAAATATTGTGCATACATTTGCAATTAAAAAAAAAAAAACAGCAATAATTTAATTGTACTATATAATTGGCTTATCTTATTAAGAAAAAACTAATTAATTGTATATATGTTGGGATTTCTTTTTAGAATAATATAATGCAATTAATAGTGTTTTTTTTTATCATATTAATATAAACAAAATATTTTGCATATATGCAATAATAATAATAATAATAATAATAAACGCATGTTATTTGACAAAAATAAACTAAATAAAGTATAATTAGTTAATTAATTAAAAATACTTGTGTTTTTATAATTATTTAATTATTCAAACAATAGATGATAGTATAGTTTATGTTAGAGTTTCAATATATATTGATTTAATAAACATTAGCAATAGTTGCTATTTTTGTTGAAAGTGTGTTTGTTTGGAAATTTGGATTTTGAATTGAAATAATTATTTAATGTGATATTTTAAATATAAAATTAATATTTAAATAATATTAAAAATAGAAAAGTAAAGATTAGATTTAATGTTTTTAGATAAAAATGTATGATCTTTTTGTAAAAACTTTTACATATTTTCCCAAAAAATTAGCATATTACATTTATTTATTATTTTTATATTTTCTATACAATTTCCTATACCTCAAATTATCACTTCAAATTATTTTAGAAAACACACCCCCAAAGAAATAGTAAAGTTTTCCATCGTAGGTTAATTATAGTGGGGATGAAGAATAATCATGGACAATTAGTGCTTTGTTTACTTTGATTTTAATTTTAAATTTTGATTTGAACAAATATAAAAATAAATTAAAATAAACGATATACATATTTATTTATTTTACGATTTAACTAAAATACATATCTTTCACCGTGGAATTGCTAATTAATTCTCAAAGACCGCCGCATTTACAGCGCCAAACAAAATTCCCCGGCGACACCTCCACCAATATACGGTTGCACGGCGTGCAGCCGCCGCACTGCCCGACGCAGCTCGGCGGCTCTGACCTCTGCGACACCCTCCTACTCTCCGCCGCATCCGCCATGCCGCTGCCGCCACATTTACACTGCCAAACAAAGTTCCCCGGCGACACCTCCACCAGAACACGGTTGCACGGCTTGCACCCGCCGCACTGTCCGTCGCAGTTGGGCGGCGTCGAACCCTGCAGCGTCCTTCTCATCTCCGCCGCATTCTCCGACCCTTCCACGGCCAGAACAAAACAAATAACAAGTAAAGTAGTGAAACCATAATTCCCCTTCATATTGAATAATCAGATTATTTTTTTTTTATTTCTCGTGAAGTATTTGTGTATAGGTAAGGTACACTGTGTATATTGTGTTATATATATAGTGAATGAAAAAGTATTTGATTTAAAAGGATATCTATATTTTAAGGATTTAATCATAATTGCAATCTAATATTTATAGTTCCTGATTTTGTAATTGATTATTTTAATTGTAGCCATGGCAAGTAGAATATGATATAATATAACTGTGGGCAAAATTATTTAAAATGGTAGTTATTATGTTATTGATTTTCTATAATTGTAGAAAATATTTTTTACATTATATAACTTGCTAAATTAATTGATTTTTTCCTTTTTTTTTTTTTTTGTAAATTACAGGGGATTTTTTTTTACATTATATATAGCATGCTAATTAAATATCATAAAATGTAGGGGAAAATCATTTAAAATATTTCTCCGCTAGATTTTAGGAGTTAATTAAAGCAGCAAACATATATATATATTATAGAATTTATATATATTTATTTTATGAGTATTTTTTAATATTATATTGAATACATTTTTGGTTTTGATAGTTTTTTTTTTTTTTTTGGTTAAGTAGTTTACATAAGTTTAATATAATTTGCTTATGTAAATTATTTATTATAAAAAATTTAGATATGTTGCAAATTTTCAAAGAAATAAACATTTGAATATATTTTGTTGTTCTTATTTTCAAAGATATATACTAGAGTGTATAGTAAAAACATGTACTCCCTCCGTCCCAAATAAGGTGCAACATTTACTTTTGGCACAGGTTTTTAGGTGGATAGTATTAAATAAGATAATTTAAAAATTAGGTAATGTGATGGAGAGAGAAATATATATTTTAATTTTTTTATTTGATGTGAGGGAATAAAGTGTAGGGTAGAGATTAAATATAATTAATTATTTTCTATTTTAGAAATGTTGCAGGGTGTTTGGTATGTATCAAAAGGAAAATGTTGCAGCAGCTTATTTGGGACGGAGGGAGTACTTTTTTGGTCCACTAATTATATGTTCATTTGGACTTAATAGTAATTTTAATTATGAATATAGTGTTACATTAATTGATTTTATATAAAATAATATTTAGTTTATCTCCACGAGAATGACACAATAATAATGTATTTGATAATTGAAAATAGATGATAATTGTAATACATATTTATTATGATAAAATATTAGTATTTTTTAAATATTATATTTATAATATAAGAACACATTTTAATTATTATTTGCTTGTATATTTTAATTTTAAATTATTATTTTTTATTAAAATATTTTAACAATATAAATATTATTATTATTATAATATTTATTACTCATACATTATTAATAATAGTAATATATTTTCAAGAATTCATCAAAATCTCTACTTATTCGAAAAGATTTTGTACAATATAAATTCTTTATAACATTCCATTAAAATCCAATAAAATTCAATAAAATTCATAGACTTTAAAAATATAGATTGAATGCCTCCAGATTTTAAAAGAGTCTAAGGGGTATTTGGCAAACAGCTTTTTGAAGAGCTTTTAGCTTATTGACAGTTGTTTGACCAGTCAAAAAGCTAATTTAGGTGTTTGGTAAATTAGTTTTTAGAATAGCTTTTTGGACCCAAAAAGTTAATTCTGGAAAAGCTAACTTACCCAACGTTTTGAAATAGTTTTTTTTGTAAAAATTTTTTTATTCCTTATATGCCCTTAAAAATTTATTATACATTTTACACAAATAAATATATTTTGATTATTTATAAATCATATTAGAATATTTTATTATATTATAGTTTTACTTTTATAAATTTAAAATAATTAATTTTTATATAAAAATTATTTTAATTGTAAAATATATAAATTTATTAAAATCAACATAAAATAAAAAATATAAATATTAATAATATTTATATTTTTTATTAGAATTATATTATATAAATTTTATACTAAAAATAAATTAAATAAAGTAAATTTATTGAAAATTATAAATATAATGAACTAATTGATAACTAACATAATAAATATAGACACGAAAAATTTATTATATTATATTTTACATCATTTTCAATAAAAAAAACTATTTATATATTTTAATAAAAATATATTATTTTTTAAATCTAACTGTAATAAAAATAAATATTTTTATAACACTTTTACAATTTTCAATAACTAATAACAAAAAATTTTAAACATTCTTAACTCAAAAGAACATAATTGAATATATTAGAAACAAGAATAAAATAGAAATGTCCTCAATTGTCATTTTATGTATAAACAACTAATATCAAACAATTGTTTTACCAAACATTTTAATACAAACAGCTAATCGAATCAGCTAGTCAAACCAGCTAATTGAATCAGCTAACAGCTATCAGCTAATTGTCAAGCACGCCCTAAATGGAATATCTCAAGATTTTGAAAAACTTTTAAAAATCTAGATGAACACACCCAGATTTTAAAACTCTATCAAAATCTTATAGAATCCATATTGAATACACCCCCTTAAATTATGTCAATGTGTAAATTAGATCAAAATATAACTTATACATGCAAATACACTAGTCTATACACATGTTAATTTCAGCACCCATACTAATCATTAAATTTATATAATATTTAATTATGCTATTATATTATTTAATTATATAATTTAGGTATTTAAAATTTAACTCATTCAGTACAGATTCCAACACTTGATCGTCTTCCCATATATAGTTGTCCTAGTAAAGAGAATATGCCTAAAATAAATTATCTTTAATCTTGGAGAATCCTAGTGAAGATGATGTGCTTAAATTTAATTATGTCAGTTTGTAACATAGACCAAAAAAATATATATATATATATGCATGATAACCCACAAATATATATATATATATATATGTATAACAAATATGTCCTAGTAAAGAAATATGCCTAAAATGAATTATTTTGAATTTTTGGAACCCAATTGCAATGTTAAAGACACTCCTTGCAAATATTATTGTAATCTTATTTATTTTGGAGATATATATATATATATATATAAAAGATACACAAAATATATTGTTATAAACATTTTGAAATATTCATGTATACATAGAAAAAAAAAATTGTATTGAAGTTCTAATAAAAACTGTCAAAAATGTTTGAAATATTCATCATTAAAATTGTATTGAAATTCTAACGAAAACTGTCAAATCATGCAATATGTCTGAATAATAATTAAATATCTTTGTCAAATAGTATTTTATTTATTACTACCAAAAATATATAGATTTGTCTCGTATAGATACGAGACAATTAATTAAATACTCTCGGCAATTGTCTATAAACCTTTGCCGTGACCATTTTATTGTGGCAATGTATACTTTTAGATTATTTGTGTTATTCATTTTGAGATAATACAAATCTCAAAAATAAAAAATTCTTGATGGATATCGAGTCAACATATGATCTGGAATATTTTTTGCACCTTATTTCGAGACTTCATACTCTAGAGATATTATTCGCGATTTGTGTTGACACAGTTCAAACTTTCAAAAAAATTTATGTGACTTATTTAGAGATAATTTTTACTCCCAAAATATATTTTATGACTAATTTCAAAACAATATATACTCTCGGATTATTTTTTGTGATTTGTTTCAAGATAATTAATGTTTCAAAACAATATATACTCTCTACCAAATGTCTTAAGACATGTGAAGGGAAGCCGTGTTGACAAAAAAGTTATAATTTCCTCAAAAAATAAGGATATAGTTCCTTATGAGTCGTGGAAATGCCGTGGTCCTTTCAACAAATGCCTTAGGGCATGCAAGGGGGAGCCATATCGACGATGAGTTAAATTGTTAATAAAATTCTCATAAAAGGTTAAAATGTGAATCATTTCTAATTTTTTATAGGCTATGAACTTTCCTACCAATACTCTAAAGTCTGGGGTGTCTGGCTAAAACATATTTTAGACTTGATTTTCATATCTAATATTTGAAAATCATATCTTGTGAGATATAATTATTATTATATATATAACAAAAAGAAGGTTTATGTGAGATATAATTTTTGATATTATATGGTGTGAGATATGATTCTTTATATGGTTGTTACCTATATTATCGGTGTTATATCAAGAAAGAATTCCTAAAAATTTGTTGTGTGAAGAGCCTATAAATAGGCATGAACCCTAAAACATAAGGCTTATAGAATAAGCCTATACACTTTTATCGATATACTCTCTTCTCCTCCCTCTGCCGATTATCTTACTCTAACTCTCTTTATTTTATATTTGGGAGTGATACAGATCCTCTTTGCGGAAAGAGGTCTTCTTTGACTTGACCTCATTCCTTGTTTCTCATTATTGCCCTATATCACATTCTATAATTTAAGTTGGCTCCAAAATTTCGATCTCAAAGTGAAAGCATTAATTTTTATCACTTAAACATGAGAAACATCATTGAAAGGGCCTTTAGAGTTTGCAAAGTTAGGTGGAAGATATTTCAAAATATACATTGTTTTGATCTTCAAGATCAATTTGCTTATTATATGGGCTTGCTTTGCTTCACATAATTATATAAGAAGAATATATTCTGATATTTACATGCTTGAGGTGTTTGAAGATCTTGGAGAGATAATAGATATTGATCATGATGAAGAGATTGATGATATTGAAGGTTAACCAAAATTGGAAGGACCAACGATCCAAAGTGTCAGATATATGAAAGAGAAGAAAAACTCAATTGGGGACCGCGAGAACAACGAAAATGATAAAATTGAAATTAATTTATTTTAAAATATATTATCAATGAAATTATTTTATTTAAATTTTTTTGAAAACTTTAATACATAATATAATATGTTTTTATTTTTGTTGAATGCATTTACATTAATATTTTGATTTTTTCAATCAAATTGTATTTTTATTCTATAATTTATCTATTATATTTAAATAAAAGTTAAAAATATAATGAAGATGTTAAATTACATATATATATATATATATTTAATTATACTTGGTAATATATTTTTAAAATTTAATATTTAAAATTTTAAGAGTATATTACAAAATTTTAAATAAAAAAATATTTTGATTAACAATATATATTCTTTTATAATTTTTCTGATATTTTAAAAATATTTTAAATTTTATTTCATATAAATAATCACTCCGAATCAATGCAAAAGAATTTTTTTTTTTTTTTTTTATAAAAGGGGTTTTTATGATTTTATAGTAAATAAAAAAATAATAATAATTTATTAGTTAATAAAAATATGTAAAAAGTTTTGATATTTTTTCCGTTAAAGTAATAGTATGTCTATGGGTATATTTTTAATTTAAATAAAAATTAAATTGATATTTTAATATTAATGTATAATTATTTATCTTTTTTAAATAAGAAATTGTACATAAAAAATAATAAAAATATTACTTTGCATTGGCGTCTGCAAAAGTAACTTTTATATACGTAGAAAAAATCAAATTGCTTTACTTTGTTTAAAACCAATGCAAACACCCTTTTCGATCTTCAAATATTATTTTTTAATTACAATTTCTAAAATATAATAATAAAATCACTATATCTTATACAGAAGTAAAAAAAAGTTAAAGTATTTATTATAAAAATTAAAATATCGCTACAAAAAATTACATATTTAATTTAAAATAATATATTTTTTATATAATTCTCGCAACCGCACACAAAAAATTATTTTTATAAAAACCGCTGCCTGAACTGCTGCCGGTGTGTCCAACCAAAATTTGAGAACATATTGACGGGTCGGGTCACGCTTATTAGGTGGGGCTTCAGATATTGCTTCACGCGGAACGGGGGATTTCTTAGCTGGGAAGAATCCGAAGAGTCGGTTGACACTACAAATTACAAAACTGCGACTCAGTTAGGAAGGAAATGGATGCCAAGATGGGGAAATTCTTCGACTCAGTTGCTAGTTTTTTCACCGGCGGCGACCAGATGCCGTGGTGCGACTCCGATGTTGTCGTTGTAAGTATATAATTAATACCTCGTTTTCTTCGACATGCTTCCAGAGCAGAATAGCGGGAGTGATTGTGATTTTGCTAGGGTTTCTGGAATTTGAATTTTTGGGGTCGTTTTTCTTCATCCGCAGCCTTCAAGTTATAGGGATCGGATTCGATTGGGAAATTCGAGATGAAAATTTTACTTTACTTTGATTACCGAGAGGCATTTGTCGATGAGCGGAAAAACATCAAAACTGAAATTACTGTATGACATATGAATCGATTTAATAAGAGATTGCTCTTCACACACACCTACATACATATATAGTAGCTGCGTTTATGGTTTCAATTCTGGTATTATGCTGAAGTGATGCAATAGTTTTGCATCTGTATGGATTCCACGCTACTCCACTGTCTTCTTCACCAGATTGATATTTTAGCAATCAAAATGTGAATTTATCCGTAAATGAGGAATCACAACAAAATGAATGGTGAAATGAATGTTCATGATCTTGTTATTGCTAATGATCTTCTGTGCAGCTTTCAAACAGATATGATTAATAATTTCCCGTATTCAGGGTTGTGAGCGTGAGGTCGCCGAAGCTGAAAAAGGCACCTCCGATAAAGTAAAAGGCGAAAGCATAATGCGCTTGTCTTGGGCCCTTGTTCACTCAAGACGCCCCGAAGACGTGCAGCGAGGAATAGCAATGCTTGAAGGTCCTACCGAACCCCTGTTGTCGTATATAATCGAGACTTATTCAAACACACCTTTATAATGAGCTGCAAGTTTTATTAAAAATCATGTTTTTGCTGCAGCTTCTTTGTCTGGTTCGAACAGCCCACTCGAGGCCAGGGAGAAGCTTTATCTTCTTGCAGTTGGATATTACCGAAGTGGGGATTACACCAGGAGCAGGCAGCTTGTCGATCGCTGTTTGGAGGTTCAAATTTATTCAATTCATTAGATCTTGAGATTTGTTTATGTAGAAGCTGCACATACATTAACACCCAATATGATCGGATACGCTACTGCAGAGTTCCCCCGACTGGAGGCAAGCTCAGAGCCTCAAGAAAGCCCTCGAAGATAAAATCAAGAAAGGTGAGACCATCCATTTTCCTCTATTGCCTATTGCTCGTATAAATATTGCAGTTTTTGACTTGTGTGGTCTGTTCCTCAGCGTATGTAGTGTTTTGTGTGTTTTACCTGAATCTTGTCCAGATGGGGTAATCGGAATTGGCATTGCTGCGACCGCCGTTGGTCTGGTGGCAGGGGGCATAGCTGGCATAGCTGCAGCAGCTCGGAAGAAGTGATTGTACATTGTAGGGGCAGAGCAGTGTTTGTATCTGTAATAAGGTGATGAGTATTATTAATATCCATCTATATCTATCAGTCTTATGAAGAAACTTGTGTAAAATTTTCATGAATGGCTTCTGTCTTCTTCTGGTTTTATTTGTGTCTATGTTCTTATTCATATATATATATATTGAAGTAAAATAGGGGATCATATATATATATACACACTAGTGCTTGTTCGGGGCGGAATACTCCTTTGATGATTTCTAATGTAATTTTGATATTTATTGTCGAGAATATAGTAGAATTTATTAAAACTAATAAAATGTCATTTTAAAATAAGTAATAAAACACAATAACCCAAATATAGGCGGGAGGATTAACGAGAAATTTGGGAGCGAAAAATTATAAGCAGGAAGGAGAGGAAAGCTAGGCATATTTGTGCTTGAGTTTTTAAGATTTTATTTAAGTTTTTATTTAAATAATACTTTTACTCTCACCATTCCACTTATACACATCTTTCTCTATGTCTAGCTTTTCTTTTTTGTAAAAAAAAAAAAATTTACACTTTAATCTTATTTTTAATTTTTTTAAATTTATTTTTATTATACTATAATTATTTTTAGTAATACATTTTTAATTATTTGTTAATTATGAATCTCTTAAATTTCGATGTTTACAATAAAGGAAACACCGTAGTCGAGATGGAGGAAGTATATTTTAGGCTATTAAATAATAGGGAAAAAAATAATAAATATCTCATTATAATCATAAAAAAATTAATTTTGGTTTTAATATAAAAAATTTATCAATTTTAATTCTAAAATATTTAATTACTTTTAGTCTCACCATTGAAAAATTAAGGGAACTAATCCCAATATTAAAGTTTCACCATCTAAAAATTAACTAAAAATATTGATGGGGATATAGCGGACTGGACGTGGCATCTGATCTAGATCAAACACGTTCGTGCTAGAAAACACGCCTGTGTTTGAAAAACCCACGGCCGTGTTACATCATTTGGGCCATTCCAGCACAAACGGAATCAGCACGAGCACGGGAGTAGACGAGCTGGATGGATGCACAAAATGATCCAACAGAGGCACCGCCAAAAATCTCTGGTAAAAAAAGCAATCAAAGGCATAACAAGAACTCCGCCGCATGGAAGAAGAACCCGACATGACCGCGCCATTTCCGGCTGACCATCTCTATCCAAAGCACCATGGAGCATATTCTGATCCCCAGCTAAAAAATTTCAGTCTTCAAAATGGGGAAGAGAGTAAATCCAAATGTTGGGGAGAGACATGACACCACCGTTGATCTTTTCCTTCCCAGCAGAACATCTGCGACCCAACTGAACACTGCCCAACCTGCACCAAATCGAATGCAATAAAAAAATATGAATAATTATGATGGTTTGGTCATGAGATAGAATGAGGTTGTTATTAATAAGATTAATTCACCTTATTGGACCCAAAAATTATGAGAAATGAGCTAGGCCTAAAGTGAAGCTCAAGAAAGGAATGGTGGCCCAAGTTGAGGTAGCATTTGGGAGGTCCAGGAAGCAGCGGGCTGAGTAGATAAGGCTGGTGGAAGAGGAGGCCTAGACGCTTGCGTGAAATCAGCTGATTGGCGGATTGGGAACGACTGTGGAAAAGTTTGCTAATGAGAAGGGAACTGCGGAAAATTGCATGTGAAAAGGCAGCATGACGGGAAGCTCGGGGGTTACTCAGAGGAAGATTAATGAGGAGTGATTAAGAGTGGAAGTTACTCTCGTTCAATAATGAGGAGAGTCAATGCTTGAGGGGTTTTTTGCCATCAATGAAGTGGCGGTTTTGGGGGTTATAAGTAGAGTTAATGGAAGATTTCAATGAAGCCAAAGGAAGGGCTAAAAGGAAGCTATAAAAGAGGAGAGCTTTTTCAAGAAAAAGGTCCTCAACCAATCCAACATTTCAAATTTTATATTTATCTTTTTCAGTATTTTATCTTTCCAATATTTTACTTTTTCAGCACCTTTACTAGTTTTCTTTATCGTTTTTTTTAGATTCCGCTTTTACCTTTCTTTTTCATTTTAATGAAAATCTATTCCTAAGTCAGTTTCTTCCTATTTCAATGGGTGGATCACTGCTGATCCTTAATTCCACAGACATAAAATGATAACCTAAAGGCTTTTTGGAGTACTCACTAGTGCAAAAGTCACTTAATCATGTCATCCGCTACGCCGCATTCAAAACATGCAAAACCCAACTAACATTACCAAATATAGAACGTATGTAAAGTAAATCTCTCACCCTCAACTTTTTAGGCTATATTTACTCAAAGCATATGAAGTATACAACGAATATCATAGGTTTGCAAGCAAATAAAATATGCTCCACAATTCATCAAGGAATTAATGTTCATAATCAATGGTCTTAATAAAAGGTTATAATGTGGCTATAGTTGGGGTAGGAAAAAGGAAATCAAAGGCTAATGGAAGTGAAAAAGGATATAATTTCAGAAATCAATTGAAATAGAGGGTCTATAGCATTCTTTAGATACTAAAATAATATAGGAAGTGAAAATTGCAAGTTCAAAACCATGATTTGGTATGCATCAACATTTCAAAAAAGTAAAACGTGCCATTACGGTGGTATCCACTTAAAGATTAATGGTGAGGAAACAATCTCAAGTTTCTAAAATTTGATAAAAAAAAGTGATGCTTATCATATAAAATGAAAGTTCAATTCAGTTGTCGCACAACTTTGCGAATTTTAAGTGAGATAAATACCTCAATCACACAACTGGAACTAAGGTTCACCATATGGCCTCAAGCTACTCGTAGGTCATTCACAGATACAGGGCTCTTGCCAAGATTTTTTTAAAAAGAAAATTCCATTTGTTTCCATCTTGATTATTGCCTAAATAATTTACTTACGGAGGTTAAGGTTGATAGGGATCTGAAAACATAAAAAATAATGATTCCCCACAACTTAAATGCATAACAACAGTGTTATGAAATATGCATAATTAAAATCAAAAAATGCATTAATTTTGCCACATTTAATATTCAAAAATTTTTGGGTCATAAAATATAATCTATCAATATAAAAGGAAACACAAGTATCATTACTGGAGTCGGGGAAAAAAACACAATACTGCACAATCCTTAATCAATGCAAGACTATAACGTACTCAATGTCTTTTTCACGAGCATTTTTTTTATCCAATAAAAGAGAAAGATGAAATAAATTTATTTTTTATTACCAGAATCCACATTAATGATTCATCCTCATCGGAAAAATCAGACTTTCCTAACTTTCCTTTGTTTTTTAGACAGAGGTTGCCTAAATACATCCTCACATGTTGCCTAAATACTTCCTCACACACCCTTGGTTGTTCTCATACACAAAATTCTTCCCTTTAATATGCAAATTCACCATACACAATTTTCAAGAATTAATCAATGCAACTGAGTGTAGGAAATCAGTACTGCGAAGAAACTTAGGGGTATAAGGTCTAATCCCAAGGGCACAAAATAATTGAGCTAGACAGCACAATCATATAATGTCAAAAATCAATTAAAAACAGAAGGTCTATAGCCTTCTCTAATCACTGAAAAAATATAGGAAGTGGAAAAATTGCAAGTTCAAAACTATGATTTGGTATGCATCAATATTTAATAATAGTAAAACAAGCTAATAGCTGCCATTGCAGGTCATTGGTATGCACTTAAAGATTAATGATAAGAAAACATTCTCAAGTTTCTAAAATTTGATGAAAAAAATATGATTTTTATTATATAAAATGACAATTAGATTCAATGTCGCACAACTCTGCAAATTATAGGTGAGATAAGTACCTCAATCACACAATTGGAACTAACGTTCATCAATTGGCCTCAAGCTACTTGTAGGCCATTCACAGACGCAGAACTCTTGCCGAGTTTTTTTAGAAAGAAAGATCCATCTGCTTCCATCTTGATTTACTAAACTATATACTTACAAAGGTTGATAGGGATATGAAAACATAAAAAACAATGAAAACCCCACAACTTAAATGCATAACAACAAAAGTGTTATGAAATATACATAATTAAAATAAGAAAATGCATTAATTTGCCACCATTTAATACAGGAAACTTTTAGGTCATCAAATAGAACCTATCAATAGAGAAGGAAGCACAAATATGATTACTGGAGTCGGGGAAAAAAAACACAATACTGCACAATCCTTGATCAATGCAAGACAACAATGTACTTAGTTTTCTTTTCACGAGCCTTTTATTTATCCAGTAAAAGAGAAATCTGAAATAACATTATTTTTTATTACAAGAATCCACATTCATGATTCATCCTCACCGGACAAATCAAACTTTCCCATCTTTGCTATGTTTTTTAGACAGAGGTTGCCTAAGTACTTCCTTATATATCCTTCTATGATCTTAAACATAAAATTCACCCCTTTAATCTTCAAATTTACCACACAATTTTTAAGAAATAATCAATACATTGGAGTGTAGGAAATCAGTGCTACAAAGCAAGTCATGGGTATAAGGTCAATCCCAATTGGGCAAAACAATTGAGCTAAACAGCACGCTCATATAATGCCATAAAGGAATTAAAACAAAATGTCTATAGCATTCTCCCCTTACTGAACAAATATGGGAAGGAAAATATTGCAAGTTCAAAATCGTGATTTGGTATGCATCAGCATATAATAAAAGTAAAATGATCTAATAGCTGCCATTACGGGTCATTGGTATGCATTTAAAGATAGATGATTAAGAAGCAATCTCAAGTTTCTGAAATTTAATGAAAAAAAATGATGCTTATATAGACAATTAGATTCAGATTTCGCACAACTTTACAAATTTTACGTGAGATAAATACTTCAATCAAACAACTAGAACTAAGGTTCATCAATTGGCCTCAAGCTACTGGTAGGCCCTTCATAAACAGATATTCTTAGAAAGCTTAAGGTTGTTAGGGATTTGAAAACATAAAAAATAATGATACCCCACAACTTAAACGCATAACAAGAATAATGTTATGAAATATACATAATTAAAATCATAAATTGCAGAAATTGGCCACCATTTAATATGGAAAACTTTTAGGGTCATCAAAGAGAACCTACCAACATAGAAAGAAACACAAGTATCATTACTGGAGTCG